GGCTTGTTTTACAACGTCGTTGCCAAGCGACGAAAACCCAACCCCGATGGCAAACACCGGGGGGGAGGGGGGGGCACGATTTCATTTCTGGAGGCCTTGATCTTGTTATAACTCCAAGAAACTATTTTCACAGATCGCGAATGCAAGACGGGGGGGTGGGGTGGGGGTCACGATCGTGAGAACGATTTCATCTCTGGAGGACTTGATCATGTAGTCACTCCAAGAAACTGTTTTCACAGATCGCGAATGCAAGACACGAGATCGATTCGCTTCGTAGTAGATCGTGTTTGCGCGAGCAGGTATAAAATGACCAGACCGAGCCGTGACTGGCTGTTGTTTGTTTTTCGATCCAGAAATGGGGATCACCGGTGCTGAACCTGAACTACTTGCTGCACGACGTGGTGGAGAAGCAGCGACCGTTAGACTGGGAGAAGTTCTGGAAGAAGCAGCCGACGCAGGTACGTGTAGTGAAGTAAAAATGTGCGTGAACCGCTCGCGTGTAAATGGATGCACGGGACGGAGCTTCGCGCGTGGTACATACGGCATGCCGACCCGCTTATCATGTATCGTTGGCATCCGCCCTCCAAAGACGTTATTTTGTTGTGCGGTTTGGGTCGGTCTCGTGGACGAATCAGTACTAATGTCGGAGATTTTACTCCGGGCGCCCGCTGCAGCGCACCTTTCGCGTCGCGTTGAAGTTGTACACGAAATGGCAGTTCTTAAGGGCGCTGTCGTTGTCCGCAAAGGAGCGTGCTGTGCGACCGCCAGCCGTTTCCCCGCTCTCACGATGTGACGGTCGACGCACAAAAAAATGCTCGAAAGCAACTCCAAGTAGTAGGCTCTGCCGCACTGTTGTGTAATCCCAGCTGCCGCTGGCCTAATGATTTTTTTTTTTGCGTCTCTTTTGGAATTGTTCTCCACAGCCTTTGCACGTGATTGCTAGCGGCGTGATCTCTAAGAAGGCTGTCGTCATGACCAGCAAGGGAGGGCACTTCGGCACGCTCAGGGAGCTCACGGAGTGCATGCGAGCGTCCATGCTTCTGCCGGGCATCACCGGGCCCATGGTGAGTCCAGCACATAGCTGTGTGCCGAGGTTGTGCCCATGATCCTGTCGGTCTCTTGGCGTTGCGCAATGCCTACCTACCGTAGGCGACCTAAGATATCCATATACCACGCTTGGACTGGCTTCCAAGGAACGATTGTTCCACCACAGAAGAGTCGCGGTGCCGACGATGGCAAGAACTACCTCCTCAAGAACTTTCCGAACCCATATCTTTTTTATTTCATCCTCTGCGTCGTGGAGTAGTCGAGCTATGAAAATCGGTCCTAGGGGTATGATATCTTACGTCACTTGTATGCAATAGCCACGCGAAGCAATCATTTTGTCCACATGGCAGCAGCAGCAGCAGCTAGTGTTGCGTCCGTTACGGCAGGTGACTTATCCGTAGCTTTGGTCAGTAAGCAATGCCGCGGGGGCGTCTTCGGGTATGACCCTAGACTCGATATTTGTCTGATGGCCGCAGCACCGACACATGGAGATGCTACACCGCCAACGTATATTTCGGGCTCCTTTTCGCGTAGACAGCAGTTAGAGGTTGACTCGCTCGACTTTCTGCCGCCGCCGCTGCCACCTTCGGTTTGTCCCGGCAACTCGTTCAACCCCCCCCCTTAACGTCACTCCCCCCGGAAAAGGTCACGCTGCCCAACGTCGACGAGCCGCTGGTAGACAGCCAGCTGTACGAGCAGATCCCGTTCCAGACCGCTCTCGACGACGGGTGCACGCACGTCTTGGTTATGCGATCACGGCCGGACGGTGGGTCTGGTATTATTAGTAATTCGTTCGCTCCGTTGTCGTGCTCTGGACATCTGCCGGAAGTATTACCAACCATTTGTGCAAATACAATGTATCGGAAGGTACAATTCCATCGGGGTAGCTAACCATCGGGAGAGTGACAAGAAACGCACCATTGGGATCTATCTCTTCCGTAGTGTTTGGCCGCTTGCCGAGGTAGATGCGGACAGTCTTCGACTCTCCTCGGTCTGCCCTCTGGCCACTACTTCTCTACCTCTCTCTCCTCGTTCCATCTCACGGAAGGAAGTACGCCACCCTTGGCAGCGGTGGGTGAATACTGCAACGGCAACGGCCTCTCTGTCTCTGACAGGAGCTGCGTCCTCATTGGCGTCGACGAATAACATGGCTACTCCGCGAGTTGTAGTGTACAAAACAGTAGAAAGAATATGCCACCCAGCAAAAAAACACGCGCAGAAAAATTAACTGCGTCAGCGGACACACAGCAAGCGGGAAAGGCTCGCGGAGGTGCGAAGCGACGAGCTTGCGCGCAAGGAGGAGGAGGAGGAGGAGGAGGAGCTCGCGAAGTTGCGGCAGCAGCTTGCCGCCTTCGGGTCCAACTCGTCCGTCATCGACCGTAACCCCCCGGGGAGGGGCACTCACCCCTCCTCAACGTGTTTCTCCGCCTCTCGACTTTCACGGAAAAAGGCCTCTCCGGCAAGAGCCGGTTCACGAGGAGGGCGAAGTGGAACACGCGGAGGAGGAGGGTGGCGGCCTCAACGACGGGGGTCTGAACGAAGGCGACGAGGAGGAGGAGGAGGAGGAGGAGGAGGAGGGGGAGGAGGAGGAAGGGGCTGGTTTAGAAGGAGCTGGCGACAAAAACGATGCGTCCAGATGTTGCTGGTTGTTGTCGCTCCAAGTGCAAAGACAACACAGCGACGCACCGCCACATACTGCACGAACCAGAGTTACAGATATTCCAGGCAAAAATCAGACACATTTGAAAACTTTATCACGGCGGTGACAGGGACGGCGGCTATGAGAATGGCGGCTACAATGAGAACGACGGTCCGGAGTACGGCGACAAGCACGACATGCACGTCATGTGTCAACTGCTTGAGGAACATCGGACGCAGAAGCTTTCGCCCGAAGATCGGGAAGCGCAGTCTGCAAGAGGGTAATTCTCTGCACTGCTCGCCCAGCACTGGAAGGCGAACGCTTCTGCGTCCGATGTTCCTCAAGCAGTTGACGCATGACATGCATGTCGTGCTTGTCGTCGTACTCCGGACCGTCGTTCTCATTGTAGCCGCCGCACTCGTCACCGCCGTCCAGAGGCCGGTGCCGTTGTAGCATTAGTATTCACCCACCACCGCCGCGGGTGGCATAATTCCTTCCGTGACATGTAACGAGGAGAGAGAAGCCGCCCTTGGCAGTGGTAGGCGAACACTGTAACGGCACCGGTCTCTGTCTCGAACAGGAGGCCGTGTCCTCAGTCGACCTTTTTTTTTTTTTCTGGCTGCGCTGTGCGCACAAGACGATCAGTCGGGTCCAGGTTTTGCACAAAGGGAGACAAAGAGAGGCGAGCCCGTGTGTACGTAACGTCAGCACCCACACGCTTGGCATTTTTCCCCAGTCCAAAAGAGGCCGGCAAGAAGAATGAAGAGCTGGCGTGCGTGGTGGTGGACGCTCCGTGTGTGGCTCGCTGCCGCGCAAACCCAACCGCTGGTCTCCGCTTTTGCATGCCCTTGCCATCCATCGTCCACGGGTACACTCAGTCTACATCAGGAGTGACGTGCTTTACCCCTCCCCTTGTGATGATAAATTGGGTGGTCGGGGGACGTCTGGGTGTTAACTAAGCAGAGCGCCCGGCACAAGACTGGGGTACTTGTGTCAGGAGGTGTGAACTTGGATCTAGACTACGAGCCTATGTTGGAGGCGCTATTTAGCGTCGGTGAGCCGGCAAAAGAACTGAAAGGAA